CGCGGCTGCTGCTGGCGCTGGCGCTGGCGGTGGCGGCGCGGGGCCAGGCGCCGGCGCAGCAGCAGTACAACGGCGAGCGCGGCATCTCCATCCCGGACCACGGCTACTGCCAGCCCATCTCCATCCCGCTCTGCACGGACATCGCCTACAACCAGACCATCATGCCCAACCTGCTGGGCCACACCAACCAGGAGGATGCGGGGCTGGAGGTGCACCAGTTCTACCCGCTGGTCAAGGTGCAGTGTTCGCCCGAGCTCAAGTTCTTCCTGTGCTCCATGTACGCGCCCGTGTGCACGGTGCTGGAGCAGGCCATCCCGCCCTGCCGCTCCATCTGCGAGCGGGCCCGCCAGGGCTGCGAGGCCCTCATGAACAAGTTCGGCTTCCAGTGGCCCGAGCGGCTGCGCTGCGAGCACTTCCCGCGCCACGGCGCTGAGCAGATCTGTGTGGGCCAGAACCACTCGGAGGACGGGGGCTCCCCAGCCCTGCTTACGAGTGCCACGCCGCTGGCTGGCCAGGGCACCCCGGGGGCACCACGCTATGCCACGCTGGACCACCCCTTCCATTGCCCGCGGGCACTCAAGGTGCCCAGCTACCTCAACTACAAGTTCCTGGGTGAGAAGGACTGCGCCGCACCTTGCGAGCCGGCCCGTGGAGACGGCCACATGTTTTTCAACCAGGATGAGATCCGCTTCGCTCGCATCTGGATCCTCATCTGGTCCGTGTTGTGCTGTGCCTCCACCTTCTTCACCGTCACCACCTACCTGGTGGACATGCAGCGCTTCCGCTACCCCGAGCGGCCCATCATCTTCCTCTCAGGCTGCTACACCATGGTGTCAGTGGCCTACATTGCAGGCTTCGTACTGGAGGAGCGGGTGGTCTGCAACGAGCGCTTCCAGGATGATGGCTACCGCACTGTGGTGCAGGGCACCAAGAAGGAGGGCTGCACCATCCTCTTCATGATGCTGTACTTCTTCAGCATGGCCAGCTCTATCTGGTGGGTCATCCTCTCCCTCACCTGGTTCCTGGCTGCCGGCATGAAGTGGGGCCACGAGGCCATTGAGGCCAACTCGCAGTACTTTCACCTGGCCGCCTGGGCCGTGCCAGCCGTCAAGACCATCACCATCCTTGCCATGGGGCAGATTGACGGTGACCTCTTGAGTGGTGTCTGCTTCGTGGGGCTCAACAACATCGACCCGCTGCGTGGTTTTGTGCTGGCACCACTCTTTGTCTACCTGTTCATTGGCACCTCCTTCCTGCTAGCTGGCTTCGTGTCGCTCTTCCGCATCAGGACCATCATGAAGCACGGTGGCACCAAAACCGAGAAGCTGGAACGGCTGATGGTGCGCATCGGCGTGTTCAGCGTGCTCTACACTGTGCCTGCCACCATCGTCATTGCCTGCTACTTCTATGAGCAGGCCTTCAGGGAGCACTGGGAGCGCAGCTGGATCAGCCAGCACTGCAAGAGCCTGGCCATCCCCTGCCCGCTCCAGTACACGCCGCGCATGACCCCCGACTTCACTGTCTACATGATCAAGTATCTCATGACTCTCATTGTGGGCATCACCTCTGGGTTCTGGATCTGGTCGGGCAAAACCCTGCACTCCTGGCGGAAGTTTTACACCCGGCTAACTAACAGCAAGCATGGGGAGACCACAGTGTGAGCAGGGCTAGGGGGACTGGCGCACTCGCCCAGGAGAGAAGCTAGAGGAAAGGATGGGCAGGGGGAAGAGAGCTGGGGCAGAAGAAAAAATATTTAAAACTCTTTTTTTAATTAAAATCTAAACAACCTTTGTTTTAGGTTTATTAACATCTAAGGGTGTCTTTTGTAATTAAACCTGTAAATAGCATTTGTAAATTTAATTATATATTTCTATTTAAAAAAAAAATCCACACACACACAAAGAGATCCAGAAACTTTGGGGGAGGGCAAGGCAGATCTCTTCCCCTCTCCTCTCTTTGGTACTAAAGGTTTTTTTTTTTCTCCTTACTCTGACTTGGCAATACCTCCCTCTACATGGAGCCATAGAGACTGATTTTCTGTTTGTGTTGGCTGTGGGGGAACATTTTCAGTTGAACTTCCATAAAAGCCAGATCTGTAATCGCTGTTCCCCTGATGTGGAGATTATGGAAGCTGTTCTGTATTAAAGGCAGACTTGGATACATCTTAAAAAAATCTCCCCTTTTCTCTGGAAATTTACGAAGAAAGTTTGTTTTTTTTGTATATGAAGAGACTTGTTAAGGGGCTTTTTCCCTTCTTTTTTTATTCCGACAGCAGGGTGTACTGGCTACGAGGATATCCTAGTGCAGTAGTTCTCAATCATTTTTGCACCAGGACCCATTTGTAAACATCAGTGGCCAATTCCGACCCAGTGGCCCTCAGCGGCCCTCGCTCCCAACCTGCTGCCCCCAGGCCCCAGCCCCCAGTGTGTGGGGCAGGGGGTGGGTATATGAAGCATGGGGGGCCCCAAGCAGCCCCTCGCAGGCTGGAACTCTGACAGCCTGAAAGGGAAAAGCCACGGTTTCCCACATTTTTCTCCTTTAAAGGACAAAGGCACATGGGATTGATGCATGAAGACAGCAACCCCCAGATCAGCAATTCTTTTTTTCATCAGCACCCACAGTTTAACTAGAGGCCTCTCCCATTCTCCTAAAAGCTATTTTTTGGCATTGTATATTTATTCCAAAATGTTGTGTACAACGGTCTCTTTCTACACTTCATTCCCGTTTAAGCTGTCATCTTTGCAAATACAGTTGAGTAAAAAAGAACAAAAAAAAAAAAAGAACCCAACTTCTGCGGGTTTTTTTCTTCTCGTAAATGAAGAGCTATAACCCAAAATTATAACAATTAGAAACAGAAATTCAAGAGTTTTTTTGTGTGTGATGCCCTTTTTCTACAGGTAGGCATCTTTTGAAGGCAATAAGTGGGCTGGGAAGCCTTTCTGTTACAAAAGCTCTCAGACATGGGATCGGGAAATGAGTTTTTATTAAAGTTACAGCTTGGGGTTGGGTGGGGGGGACCCAAATGGGTTTCTGTGCCTTTGTAGGCATTTGCTGATGTGAACTAGAACCCTCCTATACCTGAAAACTGATAGAAAGCTTAAGAAAATTTTCTCTAACTTTATAGTCATTGGATAGATTTATCTTTTTTACTCTTTTAACCTATCTGGAATACCATTTTCAAAGTTTTCTTGAAGTTTAATTTCCAGATTTTACAAGAATGCTATACCTCTTGTAATTCTCCGAATCACTAGGCTACTGCACAGATCAGCAAAAAGATCATTTTAAAAGCATGAATGAGGATACTGCCGCTGCATGCTTTGAAACTTGTTTCTGAAGCAATTCCAGGCTCCAAACTGGAAGCATTAAAACTAAATGTATAGAAACTGCTCCCACGATCATATACAAAGATTGGTTTCAATCCTATTTTTTTGTTTAATTCAATTTTCTTTTAGTTTGTTTGGGGGGGAGGTTAGTTCTTTTGTTTTTGATGGTGGGGGACTTCTAAAAAAATGATGAGGTAGCAAAGAAATTAAATAAATTTGGTTTGCAAACTTGCCTCTGGGTAGCAATGGGGGGAATGCTAACGGCTGTCCTGAAAAGGAAGTATGTTTTAAAAGAGGAATGCTGAAAATATTTATATGAAATTCTTTACCTCTGAGTTGAAAAAGCCAAAACCCAGGAATACTAGAAATAATTGGTTTCCAATCTGAACTCTTTAATTTTACTGGATAGATTTCAGCTCCTCCAGGCTGAAAACTGGTTTGATCAAAATCAGCAAATACAAAAATTGACTTCCCTCCCCACAATAAAGTGCCTCACTGGTAAATGAAGTGTGTTCTCAAAATGGCTTTAATCAAGTAGTAATATGCATGTCCTGATCCTGTTTACTCAAACTCTCCAGAAATTCACTGGAGAATGCCATCCAGTCTTGGCTAATTAGAATGTAGCTTGGTATATATGATTATATTTTTTAAAAAACCCTCAAAGGCAGGCTAGGTTACTAAAGAGTTAAATTGTCAAGTTTGTCTACAGTATGGATTGTGGAAAGGAAAAACTTCTTGGATCCAGTTTAATTTTTCCAATGGTGAGTGTGGGGGAGGGTAGTGGGGGGGCAATGTATCAATATTTTTTTCCTATGGTGGTTTGGAAAGGGGATTTGAAAAGCACACTCAAGTATTTAAAATGTAGAGAGAATCAAGATGCTTGCTTGCTTATTGCCTGCTGCTGTTAGGCTCATGTTAAATGGGGTGTTTGCTCCTTCCCTCTCCCCCACAAACTTTCGCTATTATTTTACATTTTTAATCAAGATGGCTTTTATATATTTATATTGCCTCTCTCTTTCCTTCCCCCTCCTGAGAAAAAAATGTTCATGGTGACATTTACAAGGCCTGCAGATGTTTTCCAATGTAAGCAGGATGAGGAGACTGAAAAAAATTGGGGGTTTGCAACAGTGGTAGATATTAACCCCTGCACTCAATCCCTCCCACCCCTAGGTCAACCTATTTCACTTTTAAAAAATATCCTTCCCCAACCTTCCTGAGATAAAGAGGACTTTAGAAGGGAGTTTAGGAACTTGTTTTAATTGTATGCATGTTTGTTTCAAAAATCTAAAATAGGGAATAGGGGAAGACTTTTTCTAAAGTGAACCAGATGGGAGTGGTAAGCTGTGAACATGTGTCCTGTATCAAAATGGTCCTTATAGATAAAGAAGAAATACATTCCAGCTGCCTTTTGTACCCCAGTCCTTATTAAAGAGGGAGAAGGGTGGGTCCCTTAAAAAAAAATTGCCATCTTCCAACTGATCCTAGATCATACTCCAAGACGTGTGACTTGGATGGTGCTTTGCTATGCCAGAACAAACTGATCTCTTGTCAGAGTCCCAGTTATTAATCCAGTGCACATCTTGGCTACGATTTTCAAAAGCAGCGAGCACTTTCTGGGGGCTGCTCAAATTGGGGTACCTGAGGTTGTGAGTGCCTTTAAGCCTTTATAACAACCCTCTGAAAATTGGGGCCTCTCATGTCAAGCAGCCAAAATGGCTAGTTGCTTTTAACTATCTTGTCCCAAGTCTTGAAACTGCAAATGTATATTGAAAGGGAATGTTTTAAATTAGCTCCTCCTTGATGTAGCTGCCAGGGTTCTATACAGTGCCAACACTTGCAGCAGCTCCAGGAAAGCTGCGCTGTGCTCGGCTTTAGGTGTCAGTGGTGTCCTCAACTCTTGCAGGAGAAAGACAGTACCCCGAGGGCCTGAACTTTACTGTTGACAGATGAGAAGCCTCTCCATTCATGTTTCTTAAAATCCATCTATTTGTGCACTTTTAAATCAGGCTTGTTAATCAGCTGAGATCACAAGCAGCTGTTTCTTGTTATTTGGTTGTACAAAGGCATTTCAGTTTACTCTTAGAAGATAGATCACACCCAACTCTGCTTAACATCCTTTGTTTTTTAATAGACAAAATGCAGTGTGCAAATTGCTAGAGGATAGGGGAATGTAAACCCTTCACCAAGAAACACAAGGTCTGTGTGTCTCTCTCTTTTTTAAAATGAAACTTTCAGTGCCCTTGCTTGAAAAAAGTGTTGAAGGGACGTAACTTTAAAAAGTTTGAATTTGTCTGTCTTCTTTGTGATCTTTGTGCCTGCAATCATCTCTTGCTGTTGGCTTTGGATAACTTACAGTACAAATGGATGTACTAGAAAGTGCCAAATTCTGCTTCCCTCCCCCCAAAGAAACAAAAAACCGCAAACAAACCAAACCTCCCCAGTAGCTGGGGACCCTCAGTGTTCATTGTTTCAGATGGGTGGTGGGTCCTCTTGCTTTGAATGATGCATCTGCAATTGCTGCTTAAGATTTTTCTGTAAACACTTTTCTTGTTCTAAAGTTCCCAGTGATATAATTTTAACAAATAATTGGTATCATTCTTTATGGAGTAGGAGATTGCCAAGGACCCTACCTTGTGACTAAATACAAAGGCCTTTCACATAACTCTCTTTTAGGTTAAAGTTGAATTGGGTGGCTCTCTCTGTCTCTCTCTCTTTCTTTCTTTTTTTTTTTAATAGGAATGGGAGGGTTTTGTTCCCAGTTAAGTGTGGAAAGTTGACACACTGGCTTTGAAATGGAGATTTTCCCTTAAACTCTCAAGAAAAGCAGGAGTCTGTTTAATGCATTAAAGAGCCCAGCTGTTGCAGTGTATGAAAAGACTGTAGAAAGTTTGATCTAGGCAAGGGAGAAACATCCCCAGGTTCATGTAAGCTGGTATGTGTGCACGCGCCTGTCTCTTTGCTCTTCGTGCTCAACACAACTGCAGAAATTTTAAATAAATAAGCTCATTCTCTTGCATCAGACTAGAGATGGCCTAATCGTGAAGTAAGATTTGCTTCTTTAAAGGCATGCGGTTGCAAATGTGTGCTCAGAGCAGCATGAGGCAATCTGAGCTGTTTAATAAATTCAAAACTCTTTTTCCAGACAGAAAAAAGATAGCTCTAAGCTAGAAGGAAGCTGCAGCCCCAGAGCAAGTTTGACAGACTTTGGAGCAGCCGGAAGAAGAGGTGGAGGTAGGGGGAGAGGAGAGAGAAAAGCAAGTTAGAATTCAGCCCCATCTACCTAGGTTTTTGTGTTGGGCTTATGACGGGAGCATGGGGAGCCCCTTGGCTTGACCTCCATCTCCTGCAGGCCCCAATCAGCTGTTCTGGGGGACAAACTCCATTGAACTACGGGGGCTTGATTCTGCAGAGAAGCTGACAGGATTGCACCCTAAAAGGCCCATCTGGTGCCATCCGTTTTTAAGCAGAACTCTCCAGTGAGGTCACAAGTGACAAATGCCCACAGTTGCTGCTTGAATAAATAATTATATGCAAAACCTTGGGCTTCGCAGGGGCAGGAGAAGGAACCTCTTGTCTTCTGGGGTGGAAACCGCATGTGGAAAGCTTTCTTCTATGTGCATGTCTTTCTGTAAACTGGAGGGAATACACCAGAGAGGCTGAGAGAAATCCAGGGAGGGAGCCCCAGTCCGGCTGAGGTGGGGTCCCTTTGATGTGAACTAATTAGGCCTGCTATGTTTTCACAGCTGGCTTAGTGTGGCTGAGCTCTATAGAAGTCAATTAAAGTGTGCCTTCAACCCCTTCCTTCCCCAAATCACCCTGTCTGGTGCTAAATCCAAGCCCCACAGAGTAC